GCCACTCATCTATGAAGTAGTAGAATGACTCGTCCTTGAATCTCTATTCCACTACTTGTTCAATACCAAGTAGACCAATAATCAATCGAGTAGTGAAGCGACTCGTCCTCGAGTCTCTATTATGTTACCCTTTCAATAGTACCAATCAAATCAACCATTCATCAAGTAGTAAGACAGTTCGTTCTTAATCCTCTATCCCAATACTTCACAATATCAGTCAGATCACTAGCTATCAGGTAGTAGAACGACTTGTTATTGTCTCAATCCTACTACCTCCAAAATGCCAATAAACTTGCAATCTTCGTATTATCAAACAGTAGAACAACTCCTCCTTAAGTCTTCATCCTACTATTTTTTTTTATACCAATAAGATCTTCATACAATCAAGCAGTAGGACGACTCGTCCTTGGATCTCTATCCTACTACTTTTTCAATACCAATCAGATCATTCATTCATTAGATAGTAGGGTGACTTGTCCTTGCGTCTCTATCCTGTTATCTTTCCTATCACCAATAAATCAAAACGCAGACACATGCAATAGTATGACTCTTTATGGGGTATCTACTTTTTTATCTTTTAACAAATTGATCTCTAGTTCAATCTCTCCTCACCTTTCTCAAACTTTCTTTTATTCAGGTCAAATTATTTATACATGTACATTCATGATTAATTATGATAAAACCCAAAGAAAAACATTCAAAAATGTTTAGTCATATATAATAAAACATAGCGCAGTAGAGGCGAGTAGACATAAAGGCATACATGATGATGAGAAAGGGAAGACCTCGCCTGCCTCAAAGTTCCCTACCTCCAGAGTTCCACCTGAACTCCGGCAGAACTCCCACAATCAATGGCCAACTTGAGGTCCCATTTGGTACCTTCGTCACATGGCCTGGTCAAAGTGAGATTCCGCCAACCATCTCCTTCTCGAAGAAGCGTGACAGATAGAAGAAGGCATAGAGAGCATAGACTCCCTCAGCCTCTCAAGATGAGAGGAGAGGTCACTCAAGCTCTGTCCAGGAGGTCTTCAGAGCGAGCAAGATGCTGAACGGTTCGACAGTCAAACTCTTGATACTGCAACTTTCCCACGTGCCTCACCAGGCCTCGCGTCTGCCACCCGATTACCTAAGTCATCCTCCAAAAACTTAGATGGATGAAGAATTCATTCTCTGTGTCAAGCACACCCTTGTGGGATCTTTATGTGGTCTCCCACTATAAAGCTTGCTATTGCAGGTTCATATTACCATCCAAACCAACCTCCATTGGCCGCAGATCATCAAAGCACTCGCATGCTCCATCATGGCTATCATCCCTGACTCACCATGCAAACCTCATATTCATCCCTGTGGTGGTCTCAATAGTCGTACACCACCAATGGCCTCCCGCCTGAGCAACGGGCAACAGTCTAATCTCCAGCAGCGATCACAACTTGCAGTATTGATCTCGCAATTTCTCCCAGTGGGCAATGGTCTCTGCTTAATCAGCACGCTTATAGCAAAATTATGGCCAATAACAACGCTTGACTGTAAAGGGAAAGGACAGGGAACAACCACCGCATGAGAGAATTGCAACAGCCACTACGTGCACTCCAACCCAACCCAATACTATCCTCAGCAAGCCTGTTAGCGAGCAAGCATCACCAAAAACAGCAGCAATTACATGGAAGATATTGCATCAGCACAATCAAAAGGGAAAATCTGATAGTCCCCTCTGCAAAATTCTGCAGTAGCCGACGGGCAGTCGCGGCAACTCATAGATAAGTAGCTAAGAGCGAGATCCCACTAGCCACAACGATCGAAATAAGGGAAAATTTTCGAAATGTCCCTGAAGTTTGCGTTTATTTGCGGCGTGCCCCTCTGGCGGCCGACTTACCTTGTCGTGCCCCTCTGACGACGAATGATGTTTCCAGAATACCCCTGGCGCCGTTTGGGCCTCCTAAATGTTTCATATGCCCCTACCGGTACCGGTACCAAATTTTCAGTATGCCCCTACCGGCTGCCCGTTGAGAAACAGCAGTAAAGTTTCCCATATRCCCTTACCGGTACCGTCCATCTTTCCAGCAAGCCCCTGTCGCCGCTGTTGACACTTGCAGTCCCTACGAAGGGAAGAGGAGGGAAGAGGAGGGAAGAGGAGGGAAGAGGAGGGAAGAGGTGGGAAGAGGAGTAGGGAGGACAAGGACTATGACGATGACGGATGAGGGAGGAACGAGGGAAGAGGAGGGAAGAGGAGTAGAGAGGACCTTCGATTCGTCATGATATACCACCTGTCCAACGAACAAGTAAACGAAAAGATGACACCAACACACACACAGACACAAAAAAAA